ATCCCAAGATCGTGTTACATGCTCTTCCAACTGAGCCAGCCAGGCAACCCTTGAAGCAACTTAAAAAGCAACTTAAAAATAAGACCTCTACTATCACATTTATTCTTTATGATACCTCCTGCTGTTCTCTTGAAAATACATTCAGCATTTAACAATTCTTTACTGTTCTCCAATATTAGCTTGCTTTATATTTTCATTCTATAGAATTCAATTTGGTTTATGATAATATAGGACACTGAAATTATTCTCAGCATTAGAATTTTAGAAAAAGAAAATAAATCCCAATACTGTATAACTCTTGATATTATCACAAAATATTTTATACATTTCAATTCAATAAATATTAGCATGTGTCCAGTATTCTAGGAGGAACTAAAACAGAATATAAAAATACAAGGATGAGTTAAGCACTATCCCTAGCCCTTGAAGGCCTTACAATCTACTTTAAAGAGATAGCATATTTTGATATCCCTGCCTAGTCTCTTTGTCCCATAAATCCATTACAGGTTAATGAAGAGTACCTGGCTGGCTCAGTTGGTAGAGGGTGTGACTTTTTATTTTTTATTTTTTTTTTATTATTATTTATTTATTATTGAGAGACAGAGACAGACAAAGCATGAGCAGGGGAGGGGCCGAGAGACGGGGAGACACAGAATCCGAAGCAGGCTCCAGGCTGTGAACAGTCAGCACAGAGCCCGATGCGGGGCTGGAACTCACAAACCACGAGATCATGACCTGAGCCGAAGTCGGACGCTTAACCAACTGAGCCACCCAGGCACCCCTAGAGTGTGTGATTCTTAATCTTGGGGTCGTGAATTCAAGCCCCACATTGGGCACAGAGCTTGCTTGCTTATTTACTTGCTTATATACATACATACAAACAAACAGGTATCACTAATCAATTATTACTTAACTAGCCCAAAGGACATTGTAATCGATCATTCTTAATGGCAATGGAAAGAGTAACAGGTTATAAACGAGACTACCAGCTATTTGTATTTGTCATCCTCACAACAGGGGACAAACAAACACACCAATAATCAAAACATACAACAGAATATACAGGCTATCTTGACCGTACCCCAAAAAGTGCTGAGAGTTCAAACAGTTTTACAAAGAAACTCTAATCTTAGTTTGACAAGAAAACGAAAAACTTTTCTCTGACTGTAAAAACAATACACACTCTTTTAGAAAATTTAGAAAATATAGATTAAAATTTTCAATCATAATCAACCAACCATAATAACTACTATTAACAGTTCGGTCCACAGTATTTCTGACCTGACTTGTACCTAGTCATACCATATTTTAATGCAAAATTTGAACTATACCATTTGCACAGTTACATACATGGTTTCTTTCAGCTTAACAGTATAAGGCAAGCACTGATTTTTAAATGATTGCAGAGCATTTCAGGATACTTTCCTATTGTGGGGTCATTTAGGCTGCTTAAAATTTTTTGCTACTAAAAATGAAACTGCAGTGGGTACTTTTTATTTTTTAATGTACATAAATCTTTGACAGATTCTGCATTTTTCTTTTAGTTGGATTCCCAGTGGTAGTTTCTGATCAAACATTTTAAGGGTCTTGATATCTACTGACAAGTAACTGAAAAAGGGGCTATATCAATTTATATTACATAATAACATGGATCAAGATTTCAGGAGGCAGAGATGGGAAGGAACTGGATTTCTGACAGAAGGAAAATTTTCAAGGACTATAAATTACTTATTTTGACACGAGAAGGCAGTTAACACTGGAAATATACTTAAACCCAAATGATGGAAAGCCCTAAATGCTAAGATTAGGAAACTGTATCAGCAATATTAGCAGGTACAGGACATAAGGTTGTAAACACAAGTGACATGATCAAAACAATCAGAACTATAACCTAGACAAAGATTACTTTGGTAAGAGTAAACACATAACTTGCATACTGAGAGACAGAAACTAGTGTCATTATGATTATAACTTCCCAAAGTTTTAATGGTTAACAACAGGTGTGCAGTAAAGATTTGGGATAAGATAAATAAATAAAAGAGACAGTGTGAACCACTCAGAGAGAAAGTAGCACTGACAAAGTACAGATGTACAACAGGAGAGATAAAGACAGATTTCAGATAGAGATGTCAAAGGGGATCGGCTCAGGAATTTATGGTTCTGGCTGCTCTATTAAAGTACTTATAAATATTTACCCCACATAGGAATGGGGTGTGATTGAGCATGGTAGAGTCATTTATGAGGAAAAGATAGCAGACTATGCAAAGAATGCGAACCAATTTATCCATTAAACAAAAAGCATTAAGTAATATGAAATTAATATACTAAAAAAAGAAAATCTCTGGCAGCTGGGTAGAGAACAGATTACACAGGAAATGAAGAGAACAGATTATAGATTCCCTACTCCACATGTGGTCTGCAGACCAGGGGCAGCTACAGCATCACCTGGGAGTGTCTTAAAAATTCAGAAACTTGCCTCCCCCAATGGAAATGGAATCTGTATTTTAAGATCCCTGGTAATTTGTATGCACATTAAAAATTGGGAGGCCCTAGACTAAAGGGCAGAGGAGTAGCTAAAGGATACCACAACTCCCCTAGTAAGGGCTGGAATCAAAGGGACTGGGAGAGAAAAGAGAATATTTACTTGCCCTTGAAAAAGCAAACTAACCATAAACAATAGTCCGATTACATAAAGAGAAACCACATTGGGTTTTGAACCTCTATAACGCTTTCAATATATATTGAAAAAAATATATATCGAACTCAAGAACAGAACAAACAAAAGAACAGATCAAAGAAGCAGTCAAGAAGTAGAGAGATTGAACACATTTTAAACAGTTTATCCAAGAGCATTGATAATAATCTACCAATTTCTTTTTTTTTTTTTTAATTTTTTTTTTCAACGTTTATTTATTTTTGGGACAGAGAGAGACAGAGCATGAACGGGGGAGGGGCAGAGAGAGAGGGAGACACAGAATCGGAAACAGGCTCCAGGCTCTGAGCCATCAGCCCAGAGCCCGACGCGGGGCTCGAACTCACGGACCGCGAGATCGTGACCTGGCTGAAGTCGGACGCCCAACCGACTGCGCCACCCAGGCGCCCCTAATCTACCAATTTCTAATAGAGACTTAGAAGAATAAAGGCTTGCAACTTAATGAGATGGGACTTCCAGTTTACAAACTGGGAGAAAATTAGAGAAGTGCATTTGAGGATGTGAAGCTCCAAGTATTTACTGTTTTTCTAAACTCATGAAAACTTACATTTTTTTAAGTGATATGGTGCAAGTAAAATGAATTCATGTATAGCTGTCAAATGAAATTTTCTCAAATTGGTTATTTAATAAGCCTATCAAAATCACAAAGAGATTATCTTTCAGTATTTTGTATTTGTGTGTGCATTAAGCTATAGGTCCCCTGAAAATCAATATAATTAACTGAGGACTAAATGATACCAAAGAATTGTTAATTCTGTCAGGTATCATAACCACAGCATGGTTATGTAAGAAAATGTTTATTTCTTTAGAAATGTATACTGAAATATGTAAGGATGAATAAATTTGCTTCTAATACCTTACAAAAAGAAAAGAAATACAGAAAGGACATGTGGCAAAATCTTGATACCTGTTGCATCTGAATCAGAGACTGGCAGCCCATAGCCCATTTCTATATGGCGTAAGCTAAGAATGGTTTCCCATGTTTCAAGAATTGTAAAAACAACAGAAAAACATGTATTGCCTCCAAAACCTAGAATGTTTACTAGCAGTCTCTTTACAGAAGAAGTGCTGATGCCTGCTCTGGACAATGGGCATGTAAGAATTTATTGTACCATCTTTCTCTACTTTTCTGTATGTTACAATTTTTCATACTGAAAAATTTTTAAATACCGCATTCCACTCCACACTCAAGATAAATCTACTAAACCACAGTAACGTTTTAACAGAAACCAAGCAAAAAAATTAAAAAAAAAAAACAAAAAACACTCCAAGTTTGCAACATTCAAAATGTACTTTTAACAATGAAAAGTGATCCTCACTGAGCAGATATTTGAATGAATCACATACCAGGCACTGTTCTAGGATCAGCAGACAGAGAAGTGAATGAAACAGACAAAATTCCTTGCCTTCATAGAATCCTGCATTGTTATGCTTACTCTTCTCATTTGACTCACAAATATTCTACCTTCCTCCCTTTCCGTATTGTCAAGGACAAAACTGTGTGTTCCAATATATAAAAACTAACATCAGTCAACTATACTTCAACTAAAAAAATCCCTAAACATTCACATGTACTTGTTTTCAATGCAAACAAACAAATCATTCAACATAAAAGCTAGGTTAATAACTTTCTGAAAATCAAATAATTAGACAATACTTACTGGAGATCCAAAGTTATGTCCAACTTCATGAGCAAAAGTAATGTGAGAGACTTTGGGGGGTACATGAGACCCATAGTTCTGAACAGTAATAATTCCAGTGTTTAAGGACTTCTTCTTACCATCTGAATACAGCTTACTTTTTTCACATATTCCTCCAGAGCTTCCTAATTCAGAACAGAAGATGGCTAAATTAGCATCTATTTACCCCTCAAAATAACTTTCTAATATATGCTATATTAAATTAAAACATTTTATATATCCCACTTGTATCAAGTACTCAGAAGCTTTTTTAGTCCAAGATTAGGAAGTCATTTCAAGTAAGTTTTAGTGGTACACATAAAGAAAGTGCCAGGATGTGGAACAAGGCCCTTAATAAAATGTTCTTCATAATCGAAGTATTCCCCAATTTTTGCTCCCATCAATTTAGCAAAACAAGTATTTAAGTTTCTGTTAAATCTGAATATATCTGTATTTATGCTGTCAAAGCCTATATACCTTTTCATGTTAAAAAATTACATTTAATTTAAATGAAAGTTGAACAAAATATGCTCAAGTAGATTCTGAGAAAGTCACTTCTACAAATAATAGCAGTGATGCATAGGAGTATGTAATTCACTATCCTGAGAGGCAATACACAATATATTTTTTAAAAGAGAAAACAATTAGTGGTTGCCAGGGGCTGGTGGGCAAGTGAAGAGAAGGACGGGGAGAGATTTGTAAAAGGGTACAAATTTCCAGTTATAGAATGAGTAAGGTCAGAGCACCTGGGTGGCTCAGTTGGTTAGGCATCTGACTCTTGGTTTCGGCTCAGGTCATGATCTCACGATTTGTGAAATCAAGCCCCACATAGGGCTCTGTGCTGATAGCATGGAGTCTACTCTCCCTCTCTCTCTGCCCCTCCCCAGCTTGCACACACTCTCTTTCTCAAAATAAATAAACTTTTTAAAAAAATTAAAAATAAAAAAATAGAAGGAATAAGGTCTAAGTAGCTAATGTATATATAACATGATGTGTATAGTTGATAACACTATATTGTACAAATGAAATTTGCAAACAGCGTAGAACTTAAATATTCTCAACGAAAATAAACAAATAAATATGTGAGGTGATGGATGTGTTACTCAAGGGGAGGAAATCCTCTCACAATGTATATGAATATCAAATCATCATATTGTACACTTCAAATATCTTACTATTTTATTTGTCAATTACACCTCAATAAAGCAGAGGAAAAAAGAAAAGAATTATGTCCAGTAGGTAATAAAAAAAGGGGGTGGGTGGGTGGGAAGGAAGGAAGGAAGGAGGAATGGATGGATAGAGGGTGGGATGGAAGGGGAATAAAGCAAATGTGGAAAAAACCTGACTAATATATCAGGAGTTCACTGTACTATTCCTGCAACTTTTTAGCAGGTTTGAAATTTTCTTCAAAATAAGTTAAAAAAATTGAATTATCATTTTCCAATGTGTCTCAAGAATACTTTAAAATTTTAAAAGAAAAGCCGTATCACTGGGGCACCTGGATGGCTCAGTCTGTTGAGTGTCTGACTTCGGCTCAGGTCATGATCTTGACGGTTTGTGAGTTCGAGCCCTGAGTCAGGCTCTGCACTAATACAGCCTGCTTGGGATTTTCTTTCTCTCTCTCTCTCCCTCTCTGTCTGCCCCTCCCCTCCCCTGCTTGGGTGTATACACATGCATGAGCGCTCTCTATCAAAATAAATCAATAAACTTAAAAAAATAAAAAGAAAAAAAGTGAAGCCATATTGCTACTTTATTATACATATTAAATCATTTTGTAGTTCACCTCTGCAATAATAGGAACTTTAAAGCTTAATATCTAAATGAAAGTACTTGCACATCTAAAAGCAGTTAACATAAGAAATTAGAAAAACAACAACAGGAAAATCAGAAACTGGCTGACCAACCCATCTTTATGTATATTATACTGAGAAGAACATAGTTCTTTTTAAAATTCTGTTAAAGACTTTTAGTGAGAATTCACATGTAAAAGGTTTCTCTCTTTGTTTTTTATTTAAATACAATCAAATGTTAGGATATTCTGATAAGTGATCAAATTATTTCAAATTAGCTTTCTATACACAAAGTTACAACCAAGTTAATAAACCATTAAAAAATCTAATATTTATAATCCTTAATAAAGCATATAATAGATGGCAATTCAAAATAGATTTGCAAGAATGTCATGACACTACAATTGCTGCCCTGTTCCTTTTAACATTAGAAAATATATGGCAACAAAATATAAATCTGAACTACTGTTATGATAGGAGTTAGGAAGAAGTTAGGAAGTAACATGCTTCACAGAAATGTAAACTGAAAGACTGGGCCTATGCAGATTTTAACCACCAAAAATTAGAGAACCTGTATAATATTCAAAACTTACTACCTCTTCTACAAAGAAATCTTAACAGAAAGAAATCAGCAAATAATTTAACAATATGTAATATATTTTCTTATGCTACTTCTACTTTTGAGATGAGTCCTAAGGACTGTATCACTATTTCCAGACTAGAAAAGATATGAATAGCACTCTGTATGTAGTAATTATCATCTACATATTATAGTTTTAAACAAATAGTAAATTAAAATCCTGCCTTAGTGAAGATTTGTCATATGGAAATTGGTCCAATGCAGTATTGTCAAACTTGAATTAAGCATAGAAGACTTCACACTGTAAATCTTTATCAGTTAAAAAAAGAAGAAATAAATAGCAAGTATTAAAAACTCTGATAATATATTTTTCTATATGTTTAAGGTCTATCTCATTTAAGGGATGATCATACATAAATTCAAATGTACTTTTCTGAAATACAGTAATTCACACCTTGTTTAACATCTTAACAACTACTTTCAGTTTTAATAACTATCACTTACAGAAAAGTTTGGTATTTGTTACAAACTATTAACATGTTAACTCAAATAACAGAAAAAAATAAAACATTAAATTTAATTTTATAGGCTATGGTTTAATTTTTTTTGGCAATAGTGCACTGACTTTTTTTAAATTTTAATTCCAATACAGTTAACATACAGTGTTATATTAGTTTAGGTGTTGATTTAACAATTCCATGTAACACCCAGTGCTCAGTTATGGTTTAATTTTGTAAAAAATACTGCAACTAGTTCTGATGTGCCAGAAACTCAATTAGTGATATCATACATATCTACAGTGAAACTATATAGCTCTAGTTCAGTAACTGCTTGATATCATACATTTAAAATTTTACTACATGTAGTCATCACTGCAAAACACAAATTGTAAATAGTAATGAGAAGGGTAAGATTTTTTAAATTTGAGTTAAAAGCTATTAAAACAGACCTCCCCCCCCCTCCAAATTAGAAAAACCACAAGGGTAATATAATACCCTGACAGAGTCCACAAACACAGTTTTGATGTGAACAGGCCTAAACACCTAAAACTTAATAGCAGCATGCTGACCATGCAGTATCAATCTGAGCAGTAATTTTGAACCAGACAGTAGTACTACTCCCAGAAAGGTTATCAGGAAATGTCCTGGGACATTTCTTCACCTTTCATGTCTGGGGAGCAGTACTCACACATAATAGGTAGGGACCCCAGATGTTAAACATCCTGCACGGAACAATCCAGACCTGCACAAAATGCCAATATATTTAGTGTCCTGTTAATATTCTAATGATGCAATTCTCCTAGCCCTATAATTAGACTTTTAAACAACATGTTAAGAATTTGACAGTTTGTGGGTTATCTTGTGAACACCATTTTGAGCTTTGTATGCCCTTAAATCCTAATATGTAAAATCAAACTAAAATTGCTTAACTAAGAAAAACAGAAGAGACCATTGCTACCAAATGAAATGTCTCATAAAATGTTTTTCACAAATGAGTTAGAGGAATACTAAATGGTTCAGGATTAATTATGGAGACGAATTCCAGAGCTTGCCTTATTCGGTGTCCTGCCCAAAGTGAGACTATGTTCATTAGGATAACATTAAGAAGGACAATATATGAACAAAATATACCTTAATAAATTAAAAAAAAAAAGTCCCTATCAAAAGCCATGTTGGAAGGGTGCCACAAATGAAATAAAACAAAAATTTCATCTAATATAGTCATTTACTCAGTCAAGGAATCAATGTTTCAGTCTCGAAATTAAATAAGAGGCAACCTGCTTAACACAGACGAGTGCTCATACAAAGAAAAGTTTAAAGAAATCTTTCTAGATTCATATCTAAGACTGACTTTGTCTGGAAGACCAGACTCCCTTTTTTGGCTCTCTTCTAATCTGTGTATAAATTTTTATTATCTCACGAACCATGAAATCATGAACTGAGGCAAAGTCGGATGCTTAACCGACTGAGCCACCCACAGGCGCCCCTAACCTGTATATAATTTTAAATGGGAGCCTCCAAGCCAGCCCAGTTCACTAGTTGTTTCCACTTACTATGGAGTTGGACAGGAGGTGCTGTTTTCCTCATTAAAGAAACCCAAGGCAGTACCCAACTACAGTGTGATATTAAATAAGAATAAAAAGTAGTATAAGAAGACTTAAAGAAACCTACTATTCAAATGTTTCAGCCTTCATTTTTCCCCAGTTTAACAAAGTCAGCAGAGACTACAGCTAATAATTAAAGTAATATTCCGTGAAAATTAATATCACAACAAAATCTTTCCCACCACCATTTAAGTAGTAAAATATCTGCATAGTTAAATAAAAGCTAAATAATACAACAAAATCAAAATTAGGCCAAATAAAAATGAAAAGATTAAGAAATAGTAACTGATCATAAGCTGAACAGAACAGCTATGAAATGGTATTTTTTAAATATCAGATAACGGAGGGGGGGGGCTGGGTGGCTCAGTCAGTTAGGCATCCGACTCTTGATTTCGGCTCAGGTCGTGATCTCATGATTGGTGAGATCAAGCCCCACGTTGGACTCTGCTCAGACAATGCTGAGCCTGCTTGGGATTCTCTCTCTCCCAATCTCTCTGTCCCTCCCACATGCACGATTTCTCTGTCTCAAAATACATAAACGTTAAAAAAAAAAGAAAAAGAAAACAGACAGGTAACAGGAAGCATTACTAAGATCTACAGGCAGAAACATAAAGTCCCAAAGGGCATGAACATGAGAGAAGAAATTACAATGAAAAATAAACATGTTGAAGCAAAATGATTTACCTGAATTTACAGAGAACAGACAAGAACCCAGTCTCCTAGCTCCCAAACCAGTGCTCTTCCTATTATGCCATGACAATTACCCAAAATGATATCTAAATATTACAGAGTAGTACTCTTTTATAACTCCTTTTTCTTAAAAAAATGGATTCCAACAATACAAAACCTCCATTAAAATGCAGGAAAACATTTCAACTTCTTATCAGAAGTGTCTTACAGAAAGCTAAGATATTAAAGTATATAATACTTAGCACACTAACTACTAAATGCACTGAACCTGGAAACAAAAGGTCCAGATTCTAGGCTCTGTGTGATACTGGGTTGGTCACAAAGTCTCTGAATCCTTCTCTCATCTGCAAAATGGAGGCAATAACACCTATACCTCAGAAGGGTACTTGAATAATCAATAAAGGACAAATATATTTTTCCTTATAAAAAATACAATGTAAGTCAAATGTAAGACTCAGTTCAGATAGTCAAAGGACAAAGGGAAGTGAAGAAAAAACCTGTCAATGTCTAGTATAGGGCAGGTACCCTATACTAGAAAAAGTTGGATCAAGGGAACAAAGATCCCTTCTCTTGCCCATTCTGGCCTCCATTCTGTCCCTGTCTAGCCCCTTCCCAACAGCTCTTAGAATAAGGCTTCTAAGAACTGGAGTTGGGAATTTAACACAGAATAAAGGCAGCAGATGTAGAACCTATGACAAAAAAATAAGTTATGTGTCCCACCATTTAAAATCCAGAACTCTACCCACTGCCACTTCAGTAAAACGAGTGGCATGATACTTGGTGGTCCAAATAAAAAAAATAACTAGATATAAAAATTAACTGTCCCCCAAATCCATCACCCCAGTTTAATCATGAGAAAAACATCAAAGAGACTGGAAGAGAGGGGCATCCTACAAGATACCTACCTGACCAGTACTCCTCAAAATTGATAAGGCCATCAAAAACAAAAAAAGTCCAAGAAACTAAAACAGCCAAGAAAAGACTAAAGAGACATAACAACTAAATGTAATGTGGTATCTTGGATGAGATCCTGGAACAAAAAAGAGATCTTAGGTAAAAACTAAAAAAATGTGAATCAACTATGGACTTCAGTTAACAATAATGAAGCAATATATTTGTTAACTATAACAAATACACCATACTAATGTAAGCTGTTAATAATATGAGGGAAAGAGGGTGTACAGGAACTCTCTATGCCAATTGCTCAATTTTTCTGTGAATCTTAAACTGTCCTAAAAATATAGCTTATTTTTGCATTTATAGACATGAAGCTATCTAAAGATTAAAAAAAAAAAAAAATGACCAAGCTCCTTCAGGAGCATTACATTCTTAAAGAGCACAAGTCTGGAGGTGAAAATGTAAAATGACAGCAAGTTTCTGGTTTGTAATCATCCAATCATTTTCCCAGGAGCCATTCTGTAAACAAGTTTTTTTAGAGACAAAAATATGAATATGGTAGTTCTGAGTGCATCAGAATCACCTGGAAGGCTTGTTCAAACAAAGATTGTTGGACTCCACATCTAGTGGAATCAGTAGACCTAGGTGGGACCTATGAATTTACATTTCTAACAAGTTCCCAGGTGATGCTGATGCTGCTAGTCCAAGGAACAGACTTTGAGAATCACTATATTAATGGTAATTTACAACAAAAAATCAAAAGCATCCTTGAATTTTAACAGTACTTACTAATGAACAAGTAGAAGAAATTGTAAACTTTGTGATAAAATCATCCAACTTATTAAAGGAGGGGAAAAGAAATTTCAAAATATGAAACTTATAAAACATGTGAAATTATCAAAGAAAAGAATGAGTTTGTAAAATCTGCTGACAATGCAAGTAACACAAAAGCAGGACAGATCAACATAAGAGACAAATATAAATCTCCAAAAATACTGTACTATGATATATACAATCCATGACATAAACTTGCACTTTAAGGACATTATGAAAATGTGGAAGAAAAACAAAAGAAGTTTTGAAAATTGTAAAAAGAATATTCATTGCTGGCTTAAAAAAAAGAGCAGAAAGTATAAAAGCTAAAATATAGTACCACTTAAGATTTAAAATACGCATTACAAATCAAACAATAAACTAATAGGTATACAAAATAAACTAGGAATAGAAAAGCTGGCCTTATCCTACATAAAGCAGAAGGTGATTCTTATAAAAAGATAGAAATGATACATCAGAAGAAAGAGACATTACTGTATACAGCTCAAAAGCTGACAGACTATTGATCAAACTCTATATGACCAAATCTATATTCAAAGAGTATGTGATTGTTTCTACTCAACCTTTCAATTAATAAATCTGTATTTCTCTAAACGAGGCTTCTGAACTTAATGATAATGTAAATCACAGACTGTTCCACCTCCATTGCAATGGGTAGAGGATCCTATCCCAGATTTCTTAGCAACAGCAGTGTTCATGGCTAAGGCAGAGACCCCAGTAGAACATGGGCCCAGGTGCCGAGGTCAGTGGAGCTGTGGGTACTGACACCTGCTGCTTACATCTCTTTTCAGGGAACACTTTACTTTTGTTAAAATAAAGGCTATAAATAAAATAATAATAAGAGCAGTCTTTCTTTTCTTTTTACCTAGTGCTCCTGACCAGGGTTTCTCCACTCTCTATCTCATTCCAGAACAGAAGCAAGAACATAGTTTTCCCCTTGTAATTCTAAGGCCCTCTTTCCAAGAAAAATAAAAATCTTTAATTAATAATATTAACTTCTATGAAAAAATTAATATTTCATTTTTGTTTTCAGAAATGAGTACTTCTTTTTCTCATAAAATTATTTATTTCAGCCACTGAATGTACCAAATGTCAGGATACCCCCTTGTTAGTACTCATGACAAAATAAAAAGTTGTTTCATCTATTTTTCTACTTACATCATGCTTGCCTAACTCAAGTTGAATAAATTAAGATAATGTACAGGCATCAGGTTCTCCTATACTTTTGTAAAATTCAAGTTGCCCTGAAAACTGCTTTTTGTTTCAAGCATTAAGGCAAGAAACAGTTAAATAAACTACCTGAAGGTGCTCCAACCCAAGCCAGACCAAGAACACCATCATCAAAATCTCGGTCTGTGAAGACATAGGCCAAACAGTAGTCATCATGATTCTGCTCAGAATTCAATTCCAGAAACTTCTCCACGCCAATATTTGGGAATCGAAACGGATTTGTAGGGTCCTTCTCATCAGCAGTTGTGTTGATCTAAAATTCAAAACAATTATTTAAATAAGCAATTAAAGTTAGCAGAGCCTTTGTGTAAAGTCTTTGTTCCCCTTCTTCTGCATTTGCCTGCACAATATGCTTGGGACCCAAGGGAAATCAGGCCTGAATTAAGGCTTCTACAACTCATCCCCCAATGCCCCCATCCCTGAGCTGATTACAGAAGCTGAAAAGAAGGAAGGGAGCTGGGGGAGTGGGGCAAGAAACAGAGTAGGAGAATTAAAATTGAGCAAGTTAAATTTCTGGGCAAGGTTTGACCAGGTTCCTGAACACTGAGCATTCTCTTTGGGATGGAAAAACAAGTTCTTCTTGAAAAAAAATTCTAATAAAAGTACAGCTTCTCAAATTTAATCATCTGAGTAAGTCTCTTTTAGTGCTAATCTCCTGCACATGGTGGAAAATATAAGGATATAAAAACCTTAAACTTTAGCTAATTACTAGAACATAACATAGATATCAAACCCAAGACTGTCAATTCAACAGACAAATCGTTTTCTTGGTTCTCCTTGCCTAAAATCACAGGAGTCGAGCCCAATAAACTGCAAGTTCAATTGTTTTTCCCTGACTGTGGGCAAGATTTTTTTTTACTGACAATTCTCTTCTCTTACTGTATCAAGCTGAGTTCCTCCAGAATATTTCTTAAGATGCTTAGCTACTATACTCCTAGTGCAGGTTCCTCCTTCACAATCTGAAGAATAATCAGTTCTCATACCAAACTTCTACAAACAAAAGCTTTCATTTATTAGCCCCTGCCTCCTTTCAGAGACCCCTGCCTAACCTTTGAAGTCCTAGAACAATGTGGCTTTCCTCAAGTAAGTGAGAGCATTACAGACAGAACTGTTGATACAGAATAAAAAGGGGTATCCATGAAAGTAAACATTTTTTAGAAGGCAAACTTCATCCTATTGAAAATGTTGGTAGTAAAGGGAGGATGTAACAGTTGATAAAATGAGAATGTTAGGTCTTTTTAGGATCCACACCCTTCAGTAAAACCAAGAGGCTTAGAAGCAGGATTGCAAAAACACTACTCAGGGCAACTGCCTAAGGACAGATTTCAGAACATCTGATTTATCTACTAACAATTAACTAAAAACAATCAGTAATGGTCATCTAACATAAATAATTCCAAAAGCTATCACACTACATTGTAAATAACACATCTGAGAGACATGCTATAAATGGCTTTTTTTCCCAGTCAAATGAAATTCCTTGATATTTCTGTAATATTGGCTACAAATAAAAACTGCATCTAAATTTTAGCTACCTATATCAGAAATGAGATAATTCTTATTTAAATATTGATACAAACTTCAAATTAATTAATGGGTCACAAGGAATCTTCAGCAGATGAGATCTGAACTAAAATTTCAATCTCAGCTAAAAACCTGAAAACAACTAACTGCCACACTATCCATTCATACACATGCATTTCTTCATAATGCAAAGCATTTTACTCAAAACAAAGTGCTTCACTAAATTTGTTCTGGTATTCTTTACTTTTCACTACTTTGCATTTTAAATTGATAAGAACAGAGACTACACTTGATCTTAGCCAAAAGGCCAAGAAGCGATTCACTACTTTGCATTTTATTGCTTTGCCTACTAAACAATATTTTTCTTGGTCATTTAAGGGTTTAAATTGCTCTCAATATACATGAAAGCAATTGATTATGAACAATTCTTACATTATTTATCTACAAACCACATTTCACCTTAAATTCCAATTTAACATTTAATCATACTACTAAGGATCAATTTTGCCTATGCTATTAAATATATTACATCCATAAACACAAATTATAATTTAGTCAACCGTATTTGAAGAAAGAAGCACAAAAATAAAGAAACCCTGTGGCAAATACTTTCATAAAATAATTTTTTTAATTCAGGTTCTTATCTAGTTTATGAATTCATATTCTTAAAAGCTATACACATGGAAAGATTCATATTTGGAAAACTTCTGAAACAACCAACCCAATTTTGTTAGTAATTTAAAATCTACTTATTTAAATTTATAACATTAAAACTAATCATCAGTGACCCTGTGGCTCTGGGTGAGCATTTCTCAAAATATGTTCTACATTTATTTGGACTCTCAGTTGACATTAATACAGAAAAGGTTCCATGGTCAAATTATTTCTGAAAATTATGAGTTTCAGAGCAGCTGGGTGGCTCAGTCAGTTAAGCGTCCAACTCCTGATTTCAGCTCAGGTCATGATCTCACAGTTCATGGCATCAAGCCCCACATCAAGCTCCACACTAACAGCAGAGAGCGTGCTTGGGATTCTCTCTCTCCCTTGCTCTCTGCCCCTCCCTTGCTCTCTCTCTTTCTCTCTCTCAAAGTAAACATTTTAAGAAAAAATTATGAGTTTCTCTCATGAAGGAATTCTCAAAATCTGAGATAAGTTAGCGTTCACTGTGAATTTACAAGACGAGGGTACAGTACTGTTTTTCCGACTTCCAATTTTATTTAACCATTCCATCTATCTTTTCCTTCCCTGGAACAACAAATGAGACACACTCAGAAAAATACCACACAAAGCAAATCTTAAGAAGCTGGAAAATGACATCAGGGGGATAAAAGGTCAAGTACTATACCTGTAGTTATTGATAAGTTATGGCTTTCTAAATGTTATATTAATCAGACAGAATATAGTATGACTGTTACCTCTTTTGCAGTACAGATTACAGCCCTACAGATTTCGTTCTAAATCATAAACCCAGTGTGTGTGTGTGTGTGTAAAAGCCAAGAGTAAAGATAGTAGGATCAGTAATATAAAATAAACTATTACTACATAAAGATGAAGTAAAAACCAAGTATTTTTCTTTTTGTAAACATGGTCCTTATGGTCTTTCTTAATGTTCTGAACTACTGAAATTCCTTACTCTTGGGCTGTCTGGATGGCTCAGTCAGTTGAGCATCTGCAGCTCAGGTCATGATCTCACAGTCCGTGGGTTCGAGGCCTGCATCGGGCTCTGTGCTGACAGCTTAGAGCCTTGAGCCTGCTTCAGATTCTGTGTCTCCCTCTCTCTCTCTCTCTCTCTCTGCCCCTCCCCTACTTGTGCACGCACGTGCTCTCTCTCTCTCTCTCTCAAAAATAAACAAACATTGAAAAAAATAAAAAAATAAAGGAATTCCTTACTCTTATTCGTTTCACCATGAAACTGATGTTGCGGATTCCAGAGAAGTCTGTGGTCTGGTAAATTGTATCAATTGCTTTAACATGACTGGATATCTATAGATTTAAAAAAAGAACAATATTTTAGAGGCAGTATTAAAATGTGAAAAAAGACTGTGAATTTCCATCTCCCAAATCAAGAATTATTCATGTTCGACCACACTCAAATTTTAAAATGTCTACATCATATACTGGATGAAAAGATGAAATAAGATTAGTCAACTAGGGCTGAGAGGGGAGATTCTGTGCCTTTTCCAGACTCGTCCCCAGCCAAAAACAAACATGCACTCTTGCTTGAATCATATAAAACTTTGTTCCCTCAATCAACCCTGCAATGTCAGACCTCCATGCCTTTTCACATGCTATTTTCTTATGCCTACAGTATCTTTATTTATCCTTCAGGCTTAGTTTGAATATCTTCTGTAAGAACTTCCCTGATAATAATCAGGACACTCAGTCATTCTCTGACTTTAGTCTTTCTATTGCTGCACTAGTACACATTCTCTAAGTTCTGTTGACCACTTTCTATACACTGGAACTGTTTTAGATGCTAGGAATCTAATGGTGAACAAATAGAAAAGGTCCATATAAATTTACAAAGATTTATTCTAGAGGAGGAGGGATGAGAGGAAGTAATGCAAACATAAATAAGATACATTGAGATTTGCTAAATTCTAGGGTCATCTGGGTGGCTCCACTGGTTAAACGTCCAACTTTAGCTCAGGTCATGATCTCACCAGTCATGGGTTCGAGCCCCACGTCGGGCTCTGTGCTGACAGCTCAGAGCCTGGAGCCTGTTTCGAATTCTGTGTTTCCCTCTCTCTCTGCCCCTCCCTGACTCATGCTCTGTCTCTCTCAAAAATAAATTAAAAAAAAAAAATAAAAAAAAAAAGATTTACTAAATTCTAGGAGGAAATTAAACATGGTGATAGAACACAAAAGACTTCTCTGTTTATGTACCTGACTCCCAACTAAACTCTCTGGCTTCTAAACCACTTTCCCAACTTTATATATAAAAAGCATTCTTGCTACAATTTATGTAAAAGCATGTATATACACTTTAAAAACTATTTTCAAACAAATTATACAAATACGACACAGTCAGGTGGAAGAATGAACAGTAATAATTTCAGAAGTAGCTCAGGTTGACATACTGTTAAAGAAAGTCCTAACAATGCTGACAGGGTCTATTATAAATTCATGCTATCTAACCTCAGCTTGGCCTAGTAATCCCTTATCAGATTCTGTTTCTTCTCCATTCCTGACAGTAGTAGTTCAAACATTCCTCCACAGATGATTATACTTCATACTTTACTGAGAGCTCGTCTTGATTCTCCTCCCTCCTAACCTTCAAATTTTTCTAACTTTATCCATTTCTATCTTCCTCAAAGGGTAATTCTTCCTTAAAGGGAAACTTTTCTTTATTCCTGATCCCAATCCTTACTGGCTGGACGTGCAAGAACACTGGCTCCTATCGATTTTTCTTTCTCTTGTATCTTACATTGCTTTTCTACTGGATCATTTTCCTCTTCCTACCAACTTGCTCCTGAGTATTCCCTGTCTTCCTTTCACCCCCAAATACTTCATAGTATTTCTAAATCACCATAGCTTTTCCTATTTTTCACATTTCTTAAAACCCTTGCTGCTTCACTGGGGCGCTTGGGTGGCTCAGTTGGTTAAGTGTCCGACTCTTGATTTCAGCTCAGGTCATGAGCTCAGTTTCGTGGGCTCAGGCCCCACATTGGGCTCTGCTCACTGACCGTACAGAGCCTGCTTCAGATCCTCTGTCTCTCTCTCTCTGCCCGTCCCCAACTTGTACTCACACGCTCTCTCTCTCAAAATAAATAAACTTTTAAAAAATTAAAAAAAAAATTCTTGCTGCCTCGGCCAACCCATCCATTATGCTTGCAATGTTTTCACCCTCACGACTCTACCAAGAGCAGATTAAAACTCATCAATAACCTTCTAGTAACTAAAAATCAACTACCTTTTATAGTCTTTTTTGTCTTCAGTATTATTGAGGCATAATTGCAAATAAAATTGTAAGATGTTTAAAGTACACATCTTGATGATTTGATACATGTATACACTGTGAAAGGACTCCCCCTATCTAGTAAATTAACATATTGTAGTCATTCTTCATTCTCTTTGATATCTCTATAATATGACATTTTGTTTTGAAACTTGTTTCTTCCTTGGCTAACCCCAGTTCATCTCCAACATGTTTAACTATTATGTTTTCCCCATAGCTTCTCTTCCTCAACCTACTCACTATATACAGATATTATCCCTCAGTTTCCTCCCTTTTAATTTCATTCTCTCCCCTTATTTGAACTATATCTTTTGTACCCATAAATTCTATGCAGAAAGCTTAAGGTTAGGCTAACCTCTCCCAAACTCCAGGTCTACTTCAATATCCTAAGGAATGACCACTTGGCTTTTAAACACATCTAAAATTAAGCTAGTCAACAACACCAAAATGAGTCCATCATTTATACTATTGGCACCTGAATCCTCTTAGTCTCAAATCAAATTTGGAGTCAAAATGCATCCTCAAACTCTCACTGGGACTCTTCAACACGAAGGGTATCTTGCATGGTTATCTCCAAAAACTTTTTACTTTATAGTAAGTGTTGAAAAGACACAAATGCAAACAACGCAACTTTGAAAGCACCAAGTACAAAAAAAAAAAAAGTACTAAGTACAATGGGAATACAGAATAGAAATGAAATACTTCTTGTTGGAAGGATTCCTCTATTCTTCCATTCTTTAGGACCACAATTGAAAATTCAACCTTCTTACTCTTAAATATAGAGAACAAACTGAGGGTTGCTGGCAGGGGAGTGGGGAAGAGAGGAATAAATGGGCAAGGGGCATTAAGGAAGACACGTGTTGGAATAAGCACTGGGTGTTATATGTAGGGGATGAATCACTGGATTCTATTCCTGAAATCATTACTGCACTACATGCTAACTAACTTGGATGTAAATTTACAAAAAATAAATAAAAATTAAAAAAAAAAAAAAAAAAAAAAGAAAATTCAATCCTCTTTTCAAAGCTAAGCTCCAGTGCTATCATCTTCATGAAATCATTTTCTCACACTTCAGCTTTTCATGACTCTAAAACATCCTAACTGGTCTTTCAGTCATCTGTGTACTTATCCTACATGTTCTATAATTATTAAAAATATGTACTTGTTTTTCAAAAAAGAGATATGCCATAACTTTAATTTTAGAGGAAAATATAGGTATAATGAAACAGTGTGAGAACTCCTAAAATAGTAGCAAAATTATAAATACCTGGGCAATCACAGCTTCTCGTGTTCCGTAATATTTAAAGAACAGATGATCAGTCTGAATATAAAGCTGACAAGTATTTCTTTCAGCTGAAGTTGTACGTTTTTTCCTCAAGTGTTCTGGACCATTAACGGCATGTTCTCCTTGAGGTGTCTATATGTCAAAAAGAGAGTCATTTCTGATAATTAGTATGCTTCACTATTATACTTCATACAGCTAAGAATACACATTATGTACAATTTCATATTCTGCTTTATTATGTAACACCATAGGTATTCCCCCACACCATAAAAATTCTTATGAATCTCACTTTCAGTCGCATAACATTCCACTATAAAGATGATTTATAATTTATTCAAGCAATTCTTCCACTTTTAAACATTTTCAAAACATATTTTTTAATATATAATCCTTTAAATATAAAGCAAGTCTTATAGTAGCTTATATTACTTTGATATTTTCTTCTCTCTCCCTCTAATACCCAATCTATTACCTAGCCCCATCAAATTGATCTCCTAAATACGTAGGGAATCTGCCCATTATCTCTGGTGCCTTCACATTAGCCCCAGCTACCATCATTTATTACCTAGGGTACTGCAATATCTCTATCCATATCCACTACCGGCCTTCCCTTTATTCTCCAAACCACACTCTTTCCAAAATGCCAACTTGCAAAATTACCCACCTGCATAATATATTTCAATGGCTTCCTAATGCTCTAAGGATAAAGCTCTAAATGCTTTACATGTGCCACCAAATCAACATTGCAGTCTCTGCTTACATGCCCGGTTTCTTCTCATTCTATATTATATCAAAGAGAGACTCTACCACATAACCCAACCCTAGCTCTCTGTGCTACAGCTAAACAGACTTCTTTCCAATCCTCCAACATCGTCTGTCTCCTGCCAGTCTTTGCACATGCACATACAGCTGCCTTCTCCTAACCAAGCTTTTTCCTTCAGACCCATCGATTACACCACCTCACAGAATGCACCCATGTCCCTTCCATAGTGCAACCTTATGGTATACTGTGTGGTGATTGGTTTAATTTCTGTTTCCAGCCTACCACCATTACTTCAACCACTAGAACAGGAGCTCCAGAAAGAACAATCCCTGTTTGCTTCTCACTATATTGCTATCACCTAACACAGACTTGGCAGGCAAACAGCAGATACTCAGTAAGTAAGAATTAACACTGCTATTGAATCCAAGCACTTAAACATTTGCTGACATCTGAGGACTCCATTTTAACTGAGTTTTGATGACATAGTTATGGAGAATTCAAATTAAATTACATTTGGGGCACCTGGGTGGCTCAGTCGGTTAAGCATCCAACTTCAACTCAGGTCATGATCTCACCACTCATGGGTTCAAGCCCCACGTCGGGCTTTGTTCTGACAGCTCAGAGCCTGGAGCCTGCTTCGGATTCTGTGTCTCCCTCTCTCTCTGCCCCTCCCCTGCTTGCACATGTGCACGCACGCGCTCTCTCTCTCTTTCTCTCTCAAAAATAAATAAAAACATTAAATAAATTGTATTAAACAAATTAAATTAGATTTTAAGCCACAATTCCAAATTTACTCTCACATTCCATACTTTGCTTCTCCCTTGACAACTCCATGTTTCTCTGTTCTCTCAGTTACCACCTTCATTTTGCCTTTATCTATTTTCACTGAGTACAGCATTCGAGGGTGGCAGTTACTCAGCTTCACCACACCCTAGTGTCTTCTGGTTTCAATGGTGTCCAATGAAAAATGAGCTGTCATTTTTACTGTTGCTTCTGTAAAGGTGACTGGACTTTTTTTACTGGTTGCCTTTAAGAGTATATATCTTTCATTTTTTAGACTTTTCTAGTAACATCCTAGGGTGTTATTTTCACTGTAAAGTATTTATCCTGCTCTAACTACAGGGCTTACCAAAATTGTTGATATCCTCTGTCATATTTGGAAAAGTCTCTGCCATATCTGTCCTTATTTCACTGTCATTTTTTCCCCTCCTGAGAAATCAATTATATATATGCTAGACCTTCTTGATGAGTCTCCTCTTTCCTGTATTTTCTATCCTTTTGCTTCTGAGTGGTTCATTCTGTTTTCTTATGATATACCACCCAGATCTAAATCCATCAAATTCTTAATTTGTTATGTTTTTTAATTCTAGAATTTCCATCAGACTCTTTTGTTCATTTTCAGTTTTCTGCTGCAATTTTAAATTCCATCTTTATGTACTTGAACATATTAAAGTCTGTATCTGTGTCTGATCACTTCATTACCTCGAAACCTTTAGGCTGTTTACATGTCTGATACCCCAGTACAATGTAAACTCTTTGAGGGTGTACACTTTATGCCATTTACTCTTGCATCACTGATGTTTGGTATACAACTTTTCTCCTCTTGTTCTTCCATCATGTTGTCTCATTTGTTCATATGCTTATTATTTTCAGCTGAGTGCCAGACAGTGTACATGAAAAACCACAGATAGAATTTTAGGTTTCAGGCGATGATATTTTTCTCAAGAGAAAATTTATTTTTGCTTCTGGCCTTCATGGTTAGGCTTGATGCACTAGTAATCCTGGATCACCTTACTTTAATCACAGATTAAGCAGCTGTGATGTAAACTGTAATCCCTTTGACAGGAAGAGGTAGAACATTTTTTTGACCCACCCTTACTTCCAGGGAGTAGCCCTTCAAGATCCAAACCTAAAGCACTACAGAGAAGGCCTCATGTACTATTTTTACCCTAAGGCTCAAGAATCTGGAGAGTTCTACTCAGCTTCTCAGTCTCTCAGCTACTTTATCAGGAACTGGAAGATAGAGCTGGAGAAAAGGTAGATCCAAATGCCATGCTCACTCAGTCATCCTCATATTTTCCTAAGATCTAGCCCCATAATTCTTCACAGCCTTGTTCTCTCCCCAATGCCTCCAAGCCAATACACAAACACACACATGCAGACACACATATAAACATGTACATATGTACTTTAAAAATATTTATTTAAAAAAAATTTTATCTTGAGACCAGATTGGTTTTTATTAGCAGTTCTGAACAGGAAAAGGATTACTCTGTATCTTGAAAACAATTTTGTGGTAATTTTATGTATTCTGAATATTGTCTCAAAACTTGTAATTGTCTTCATTTTGAGGTGTCTTTTACCCTTAATTTTCATATGGTGAAATATATCAAATTTTTTACAGTCAAAAGATTTTACATCATATTCTAAGAGTTTCTCTATCCCAAAATCCAAAATATTTTTAAATATCGTTTCAAACAATTTGCTCATTTTTTAATTGGAATTTGATGCATTATTTTAAGTGAGTTATAATACTTCTTTGTATATTCTGGAGAAGACTTCTGCCAGATAGATGTACTGTTGACATTTTTTCACAGTCTGTGGCTTTTTATATTTTCTTAACTGTGTGTCTTTTGAGAAGATTTTAATTTTGACAAAGTCAAATTGATAAATTTTGGAGACTGGGTATTTTTTTTTTAATATTTATTTTGAGACACAGAGAGAGAGCACATGAGCAGGGGGAGAGGTAAAGAGAGAGGAAGAGCCCAAGCAGGCTCGATGCATCAAAGTCAAGAGTCAAACGCTCAAGGTGAGCCACCAAGGTGCCCCTAGAATGGGTATTTTTGCGTCCTAAAAAATTGTTGCCTATGGCAAAGTCACAAAAACTTCTATGTTTTTTTCTAGAAGTTTATTCTAGCCTTAAGTATATAGACTCATTATCTATTTTCAGTTAAATTTTGTATGAGGTGTTAAGTGTATAGGTTGAGGTTCAATTTTTTTTTCCATACGGATATCCAATTAATTATACCAGTACCATTTGTCAGACTGCTCTATTCACTTTTTTTTTTTAATTTTTTTTTTTTCAACGTTTATTTATTTTTGGGACAGAGAGAGACAGAGCATGAACGGGGGAGGGGCAGAGAGAGAGGGAGACACAGAATCGGAAACAGGCTCCAGGCTCTGAGCCATCAGCCCAGAGCCCGACGCGGGGCTCGAACTCACGGACCGCAAGATCGTGACCTGGCTGAAGTCGGACGCTTAACCGACTGCGCCACCCAGGCGCCCCTCTTCTCTAGCTTTTTAAGGTGGATGCTTGTATGAGTGATTTCTAGATCTTTCTTCTTTTCCAATATGATCATTTAAGACTTTACATTCTTTGTTGTTAGCAGATGTTTAATGTGCATTCTTTACTTCTTTGTATAGACCTAAATTTCCATCTGGTACCTTTTTCTACCCCAAGAACATCCTTTAACATTTCTTGCATTTAAATGTTCTTTCAGTGGTTATACAACTTAAGCTGAATCTAACAAATTTTATTGTCTTGTATTTTTGTTATCATTCACTTCAAAATGTTTTCCAATTGCATTATTTTCCAATTGTCTTATTTACATATAACTTAATTTCTAAAAATTTTAGGATTTTCCAAATTTTTTATTACTGATTTCTAATTTAATTTCCTTGAGACTTAAGAACTTATTCTATGTAACTTCAATCCTTCTAAACTTATTGGGACTTATTTTGCAGCCTGGCATATGTTAGCAGATGTTCATGTACATTTGTAAAGAATATGTATCTGCTACTGTTGAGTGGAAAGTTCTTTAAGTGTCAATTAGGTTGGTTGGTTCAGAGTGGTGTTCAAGTGCCCTATACCCTAAATGATTTTCTGTCTACTTGCTCTATCAACTTATCAGTCAACTTACTTGTTTACTCAGAAATGAGTGTACCTTTGATTATAATTTGTAGATTTTTCCATTTTTCCTTTCAGTTTTGTCAGTTTTTCCTTAATATATTTCATAGCTCTATTAATAACTGCACTATTAACTAACTTTTAGGGATTATTTCTCTTGAAGTAAAATGTGCCCCCCCTTGTCTACAGTAATATTCTGTAAACTAATATACATTCTTTGATATTAATATGGTTACTCTAACATTCTTATGATGAGTGCTTGTATGATACATGTTTTGTTATCCTTTTACACTGTGTCTTTTACATTAAAAAAATTTCTTTAACATTTATTCATCTTTGAGAGACAGAGGCAGAGTGTGAGCAGGGGAGGGATAGAGAGAGAGGGAAACACAGAACGCAAAGCAGGCTCCAGGCTCTGAGCTGTCAGCACAGACCCCAATGTGGGGCTTGAACCCACAAACC